GTCTAACTTTCTCTCTTAGTTCTTTAGAGACGTTAGATAGAGAGGAGATTTGGTCTCCTAGAATTGTAGAGTTTTTTTTGTTTACTCTGCCGTTCTCTGTAAAGTCTCTAAAGACTTCTACAAGGTCTAGTAAACTAGTTTGCCTAGTAGGGTTGTTCTCAGCTAGGTTAGCTGCTTGGATTACTAGGTTTCTAGCAATCTCTAAGGCCTCCTCAATAGAGGTTGCCTTTGGTGTTTTCCCTACTGTAGGGTATCTTGGCACTGCTCCAATAAATGGAGAAAAATTGCTTCTTGTCCTAGTATGGGTAGGCCTAGGCGGTTCTTCTGGTTGCCTGTTAGGGCACGGCGTAGGGGCCTCCTCAGCCATCTCGATTTCTGGATTATTATCCATTAGTCGTTTGCTTGTGCCTCTAAGGTCCTTTGAGGCTAGTCTTTTTTTGTTATTTTTATTGTTTTGATATGTCTGTGTTTCTTGCTAAATTTAAGCTTCAATAAGCTCCTGCGTTCCTATTAGCCCCTCTAGTCTTGGCATTAGAGCCCAAGCTCTGTGAGAAAATTCTCACAGGCGTGAGAAAACGAAGGAAGGCCTCCTTCTTCTCCCTACTGCGCGCTAGCGCCTTAGCTGCAGGTGTTAAAAGTGCTGTTAGTCGATTCCTCGTGGTCGGTTCTCCTAGATAGCGTGCTTTCCTAGCGGTTTCCAGAAAACTCGAAGTTGGTGTGTCTCGAAGTATAAAGCTATATAATACTATAAAATAGTTAGTGTTTTAAAATCTTGCCCTAGTCGCTGTATACAGCCAATAAACAAAAAAGAGTCTATAGTAGTAATAACATATCGCCCGCTGACATTCCTGAAGCTTAATTGATAAGAAGCTTGATAATGTGTACTCAACAACGTTATGAAAGGCGCCGCGCCAGTATGTCGGAATCACCCATAAAATTACTCGATACTACGCTTACAGTATAGCCGTAATATCACTTACTAGCTAAATAAGAATAGAAAGATTGGACTGCAGTCATTATTGGATCACTGTAGTCAGACTCTAGCAATAATAGCTTGTGTATGGGAATCTGTAGTCTCGGCGTTGTAATAGTTTTGGTGGGGTGGAGCGGGCATTGAGCTGGCTGTCCTAGGCATTGGCCCGCCCGGGACGGTATATGACACTCCGAGCATCTACATCTTGGCAAGCAAACCGCGCACATATCATCACAGAGAGGGTGGCCAAACTCTCAGACACTATCTCAGACGGATATCAGATTTCATGGAGGTCTCGACCACTAACGATATTACACACCACTGCAAGCGACAATCCTCCGTCATCATTGGGGGCGACAAAGACGTGAATGGCAAAGCCCATGGCCAAGCGTTGCAACAAGTGCACTTGTCGTTCAACATGTCCAACAATAGCGAGCCCAGACGCTCGCCTCCCCTCTTGCGCCTGCCAGCTGAACTGCGCATGCAAATCTTTACCTGGGTTTTCACAAGGGCCACACCTTTGTCTATCCACTGCTGGCGGCGCTACACACCTTTCTGTTTTTCGACAAGGGTCATGCAGTACCCTTCAGGATTCCTTGCTCTACTTTTGACGTGTCGTCAAATATACAACGAGGCTCGATTGCTGCCTTTCAAGTGCAACACGTTTCGATTCAAATCTCAGGACGCGTTCGAGCCGTGGCTGGCCCGATTTTGTCCAGAGCAAATCCGTGCGTTCAGAAAAATCGAGCTCGTAACATGGATGGCGAGACACATGGTCGAAGGAGAAAGCTGGGTGGCGAAGAGGGTGGAGGACTGTTTACCTTTGCATAAATTACGAGGTCTGAGAAAAGTGCGTATCGAGGTTCGGATGAACGGCAGAGACCGAGATTGTATGAGAGAGGCATGTTGGAATTGCGAAGGGTCTGATTGCGATGTGATGAAGGAAATAGAGATGTTGATGGCGTGGTTCCATGACAAGAGTCCCGGCTTGGAGGTTGAGTTTGAGACAGTAGCAGCATAGGCTGAGTCTCGCCACAACCGCAGCCGCAACCGGCTTGCATAGTTTCCAGGTGACGTGTGGTATTGATGATGCATCCGTTACTGGAGAGAAGGTGTCAAGTTCCATGTTGCAGGAACTTCAGATGCGCAACTGGAGAGGAACTGCAGTCAGGGAACGAGCCACTCGGCACTCCTGCATACTACCCGAAACGGCTGCTTACTGCGAACATGTCGCTTGGGGCCGTTTCTCCTCGAAAAAACCCCGCAGCACAAGTGCACATTTTTATTTCCGGGTGTGTTTGAGCGATTGCGATAACGTCGGCTCTGCTCGAGACTGGCGCTGAAGCTTGACCAACACCTGAAGCGGACAATGGCTGGCTGGTAAGTATAGGCACGGTGATTACACCTGCCTGGCCCCATCACCAAGCCCGGATCGACTTGGCTAGCAGCGTGTGCAGTGGTGCAACGGCACTTGGGTGTTCGAATCAAACACTGGCGTACAAGGGCTCGGCTCGAAGTCGCTGCACATGGCTGCGGCAACGTACCCAGCTTGAGGCCCGCTTTCAGGCGCGCTGCCGCTGACTTGAGCGTCTTGGGAAGCTGGCAGGCAGCGCATTATCGCAGAAAACGAAGTGGGGGGGGCTGTAACGTAACTTGCCACAGTCTGGCCTGGATGTAGGAGTGCGAGTGGGAGCGTGCATGCAGTTGGAGGTGAAGGAAATGGAAAGTAGAAAATGGCCACGGGTGGGAAGCAGGGGCCGCGGAAGCGGGGCAACTCCCTTTTCCGGCATCAAGGGTCCTTAGCGCGGGCCCGAGCGCGCCCCCCGCCAAACACTGCGTCCTCCGTCAACAACGGGTTTTAAGCCTGCCTCTCCAAAAGGCTCCTATAGGCACTGTACACCTAGAATGCGAGCTCGCTTCGGCACGCAGCGTCGCCAGCAGATTATTCACATGAGTGAGCGTGCTGTCTGCACGGAGTCGGTTTTTCTGTCCACCTGTCCGCACACATGAGCAATCCTCCGAATCAAAGCCGCAATGGCAGTCACTCACGACTCACGTACGCTCACCGTCGTTTCGCGCTTTTTGCTTTCACAGCAACTGATGGGCTTTACAGATGCGAGCCATGCCGAGATCGCAAGGTCAAGTGTAACAGAGTGTTTCCTAGTTGTGGGCGTTGCATCCGCCTGGGCTTCACGTGCTCGTATCGTGACCGCATCAGCCAACGCGCGACTCAGTCGGCCATTATATCGCACCTCCAGGAGCGGGTCAGAAAACAGGAAGCTTTGCTTGCGTTGCAGTCAGCTGCGAACAAGCCACCTTCAGTCACCTTGATGACGACGCAAGCGCCCTCTCCGTCCATCACATCGCCGTCTCCACATTCCGGACCGTCACCCAGCGCATGTGTGGAAAAGCAGCGGGCTGACAGCGGTGCCGGCTCAGCCATGGCCGAGTACAACGCCGCCTGGTTCGCGGGGACCACGTTTGATGATTCACTGGGTTCGATGCCGACAACCATAGACTGGGATATGGAAATCATGTCTATGCGCCCTGATGGCGCCCACATTACCGAGGACTGGTTAGCATCCACAACATCGGGCCAACCCCTCCTTTCAACCCCTCCAGCCATCATCGCTGCTAAAGATATGGACGAGCTCCACGCAATCTTCTTCGCCCGCATTCACCCCGTCATGCCCATCATCAACGAGGGCCAGTTTCGCAAAGATTTGCAAGATTCGCCTCATGCTGTGGCTGTGCAGAGCGTGAGCTGTACAGCCGCCCTCCTAGCGACCACGGTGCCAGAGGCGCAAGCGTCGCTCAAGCAGTCCTGTTATGTTCTCGCAAGGTATTATGTTGACCAATGTGAAGCTGAAGAGGGCTTCCACCCCAGTTGGTGCATGCATTTTCTTCGCGCTCTGTTATTCCTCACCCGCTTTGAGATCAACAACCGGAGCTGTGCGCGTGCGTGGCTCACTTTGGGACGTGCCATCCGCCTTGCCAAAATTATGCGATTGGACCAGATAGATTGCGCAAATGAGCCGCTTTTCCCCAATGTGAGCTTGCCCGAGATAGTGTCCCCTGCGGCGCAGACTGCTGTCGAGCTCGAGGAGCGGCGGCGGTGTCTATGGGCTCTGTATATTCTCGAAGGTCTTGCCTCGATATATACAGGAACACCAGGATTGCTTGATGAATCGAGGGTATGTAGGAGCAAATTATCACGTCCGGTTCTGTATACAATACTAATGCATCTTCTCTTTCTAGCTCCAGGTATCGCTGCCATCGCCAGGCGAGCTAGACAAGGATTTCCAGTCATCATCTTTGCCACATCTTGGCGAGGCGCATACTATCGCCAAGTCCGAGATACTCTCACCTTTCTGCGGACTAGTCTTGGTTGTTTCGGTCTTGCGCAAAGTCATCTACCACACCTCGCAGCCGTCATTACCGTCATCGACATCCGGTTTCGGATACTCGTGCAACTTACCCGGTTTCTGGGATCGGCATTTTTCTTTGCTCAGAATTCTAAAGGTAGTTGAGGCTCTAATTGAGCCTCTGTCTCTCTCACGAACCCTGAGATCTTGTGCCGTTGCCTTCAATCTCCATCTAGTCTTTCACGCTGTGAAGGTCAATCTATACGAGGCCGCGATTGATGAGAGTGAGCGACAAGAGTTACCATTTACTGAAATAGACACGAACATGGACCAGCTCACTTCTAATGCGCTCAAAATCGCTACTGCAGTACGGTCAAATTGGTGTCAACAACGGCTTATGGTGAGGTTGATTTCTTTTTCCTGATAAGACTTGATATCTGCCAAGATGAGACAGCGAGTACTTTGCATGCTGACCGCTCTGTAGTGTGATAATTTGTCTCTCAGCGGAGCATTCGTTGGCTGGCCACTTTACACCGCTATCAAGGCTCTTAGTCGTGGCGCATCCCCCGACCAGTCAAATCCAAGAGCAAGTGCTATTCGCATATTGTACGACTCATTAGACGACGTTGAGCCATCGGATGGAGCGTGGCATAGGCTTCTGTCACAGTCGTGTCCCTCACCACGACCATAGAAATGGGATCATTTATCTGCCTTGACAATTTGTCACGATTTAGAAACAGATCAAATGTTGCAAACAAGAAGCAAATCAAAGCTGATGACCCAGAATGAAACATGCCCCTCTCAGGTCGTATGAATCCAAAGCCTACTGCCATGTCTTACGCAAGAATGCTGGAATTATCTTTTCCAGTCAAGCACCACGGTACCAAGCCCACATTTTCAACTGTGCGACGTATGAAGCGCTCGAAGCATAGATCGATCACTCCGTGCGACAGGCCGTTGAACAGTTTTTCCCATTTTGGCCTTTTGCGATGCTTTGAATTCATCCAACATGCCGCGATAATCACTAGGTTTGTAGCGCATAAACATTTCTGCCAAGGCGCTGTTCTTCCTTCTCGGCTCGATGCCAAGGTCTTTGGCAAGTGTGTCAATATACTAATTTCATTTTGATTAGCACGAGTTAGGGTCGGGGTAAAAGACGGATGATGCGAACACTGACCGAAAGGTAGTCAAAGATGCAATAGGCATGCTTCTGCCCCATTTCCAAATGTCGCTTCTTTGTCCATGCATTGAACGTGGCAATCTCATCTTCAACCGTATCGAGGTCCGGGGGGTTAATCATGCCCAGCAAGTATGCGGCATTCCACAGAGCCTGGAATTCGCTCACAGTGGGAGTGAAGATGACGTGGACTAATCCAGGGAAACATATTGATCGCTCATTCTTGGCAATCTGCTTGAGCGGAATCAGACGTCTGTAGTGTCTATTTGGGCCACGCAGGACTTGTTGAATGGAATCATTGGCAGTATCGACCTTGGGCGTGTTTGATTTGAGCATGGGCAGCAACTCATCAATCTTGGCTTCGGCTTTGGCGTGGAGCTTTGCCCACTTGATCGCCTCCGTCTCATCATACGTCAGACCCAATTCTTTCCGGAGCTCGAGGCTGAATGGCCTGTAAGGCTTTTCAAAGCCGGTGCATGCAATGATCAAGTCGGTCTGCACGGCCGTGTCGTTGTTCAGGTTCACGACGTTGATGTGTGAGAGGGATTCAATTTCGCTGCGATGAACATGGAGTTTGCCAGAGTGGAGCGTTTTCCAAAAATCCGGGGCTGAAGGCGCCCCAAGACCGGCACGGGCCCAGAACATGCTGCACAGGCTATGTTAGCGTTTTGCTGATTGTACACGTCTGGTCATATTAACGTACCCAGAGCCACGAGGGGTGGGCTGCAGCTCCTTGAAATCGTCATTGGCATCATACCCAGCGGCGTAGTCTGCAAGGAAATTTGCAGTGCGCCAGTATGCACCGGCTATCATACGACCTATGGGTGTTCGGTGAATGGCATTGTACCAGAACCCTGACGTGTTCATAATTGAAGGGCTGAACATTGCCATGGCTCTGGTAGACAGCCCGTCAACAGTGTTCCAGATGCCGAGCAGTGTTGGTGGTCCCATGGCAATGGGGCCACCGCCATTTTCTCGGATGATCCAGTCAACCTCTTTGCCAGCTTTAGTCAAGAAGTATGCCGTGTCAAACGCTGACTTAGCCGCGCCGACGACTGTGACTCTCTTGGCTTGAGAGATGAGTTCCAGGTTCTTTCCCGTGTCGGAGGAATGAATGACTGGGCATGAAAAGTGGTCCTTGGGCCATGTGGGCTGCACTGGACTAGAGCCAGGCCCAACCGCCCAAATGAGCTTTGCACATTCAATTTGGTAGCCATCAGCCACCGTCAGGATCCAGGCTCCAGAGAGAGTTTGGTCCACCTCTGTCACGGTAGACTCAAACCTGACAAGCTCCTCGAGCTTGAAGTCGCGGGCGAATGAAGTCAGGTACTTGTTGATTGTGTAACCTGAGTGCTAGTCAGCAGCTGCAGATTTGTGCCGGAACGAAGGCATGCTGACCAGAAATGAAGCCATCCTCGGTGATGCCCTCTTTGGGCATATCGTAAAAGCTATACTCGAATAGGGGATGGCTGACCTGTGCATACAGATCTGGGTACAGTCGGTCTGTGCACCATACTCCGCCAATCGATGTTTCGCTATCGATGATCTGGAGGTCAGTCTCGGGCGCAAGATCTAGGTATGTTTTGGCGGCGATAAGACCGGACCATCCTGAAGAAACAATCAGCAAGCAGGGAACAAAGCACCGTTTGCGATGGCCATGCACAACGTACCAGCTCCAACCACGATAACATCACGCCGTGAACTTGTTCGCCCGGGCATTTTGGCAGTAATCTGACGGACCAAGCACGTGACAAGACAGAGTCATCCAATCTGTGTTGAAGAGCCACACGATGCGGGGATATATCAGGGGCTCGACGATGGCCACTCCGCAACCACTGCATCGCCAACGCTGGCAGCACCCGGCGTGCAAAACTGGTTTTCCGACGTGGCCGATGGTGCGCACTGGGTGCAAGCACGAGAGAGCGCAAAAGGATGGCCATGATGGTCCGGCCGTTTGGCGCTCGGACTGTTTTACCGACACGGGCGCGCAGGTCGGTAAGATTTTCCCCGCCTGCACTGTGCACCTCGCTTACGTACGCTTACTTAGACTTACCCGGTAGTGATCAGTAGTGATTAGGGTTCAATCAGTGCGCGTTGTCTGGTCAACGGCAAGATCTGTGCGCACTGTTCGATCTGTGATTAGGGATGAAGGATCCCGCTATTCGAATGTGCACCTGGACTCTGTGGAAACGCTACATAATATTCGATACAATGACACTTGCATGTGAGACACGATTAAACTTCCGTGTTCGATACGACCAAACTTTGCTATTTGATACTTTCAAACTCCCCAGTCAGATTCTAGTAAACGCTGATGTTACAGTACGATTTTTCCGTGTCAGCCGCCGGTAGCATAGGAAGGTTTACTTAGGCCCTGTTTGGTTCTCGGTCCTCGGTCTCTGATTTTTAAGCCCATTTTGGTCGTAGCGGCCTTTGGTAATGTGGTAGGTAGGCTTACTCAATGGAGATCAAATAGAGAACGGAGATTGAGGAACTGCTTACAAAAACACTATTTTGTCGATTTCGGGATGCTCTACGTAGTCCACTACGCAATCCACTGCGTCATAGAATAATGACTAATTTCAACATGGTCATATCGGAAAACAGAGTTTTTGAACACAGTAGCGGCTGATCAGGTGGTACTATCAAACAGAGCTCCGTTTCGCCTAAAGTGGCTGTTTTCCCGAGAACGACGCTGTTCCCATCTCCGATCTTGGGACAGAAATCCAATACAGGTAGCGGCAGGGAAAACGGTGTTCTACCAGATAAACTCTGAACCAATAACGGGTGTTCAACTCCCTATGCTATGCCTGTAAGATTGTTTGACACTTTTATATTGGTGATATCATTCTAGAAAACATTATATCTAAGAAGCTCTCCTATAAGACGTGCTGAAGTGAGTGATAAACTATGGTATAATCTCTTACATTTACAAACGCAGTTATGAAGTCTATCATTCCATCCTATATACTAGCAGTAGGTGTATTTACCTATAGGCCTTCTCAAGTATACGCAGACTGGTTGGGAATACGTGTGAACACTGTTGATCTGTGCTGCAATGATTTTTTCCAATGGGATAAGATCACAAGAGACCATACGGATGAGGTTCATTGGGGATGGCTCTACTGTGTAAGATACTTCCCATTCATATCTATCAAAACTAACTATCCAGTGTGGCATGGATACTGACCCTAACCATGATGGTGGCTGCGATAAATATGTCGGAGTTAGAGTTGGTCGTGGGGGACTGAACTGGCAGATTACAAACCCTTATTCTACATGCGGTTACCAGAATACAGGTCGATACTTCATGGTAATTTAAGCTGTTAATTGCAGCTTTAGCTGCATATTAAAATCAGTCACGTGTGTTAGCTTAGTCATCGTTTTTCTATAGGGGCTTAAAATGCAAGACTTTATTAGTGGAATTAATTCTTATTAGCTCTAAGAAGCTCTACTATCATTTATCACAGAGGTGCTACAGTAAGATGTTAGGAATCTCTATATTAGGTTAGCCTTGCTAAGCTCTTGTTTGTAACGACGCAGGCAAGACGACTCGGATCAGTATCGGCGGGAAGAGTCACTCAGAGGCATATGGGAGTGCGTGGTGGACAGCAACCAGGCCTTGATTCAAGTCGACACCTATAGGTCTTGTACGAAAGGATATCAAAAGTCTACAGAGCTAGCTACAGGGAGTGTCTCAATATATACCTATCCTAGTCGGGTCCGAATTCGGATCCGACCTCGGGCGAATGGCTGATGAAGGGCGGCAGGTACTTCCTCCGATCCGGCTCTGGGATTGGCTCCATACTTGGCGAAGTTGTAACATCGTTACA